CTGCAGTATCTAGGTCTACGTTATTCTGGTTTCTGTGTTAAACCATATGTGAATGTTTTTGCAGCTGTGCTATAGAGAGGTCAGTGATGTATAGAGGAAAAGTGAATTGCAAAACCCTTGTATTTAAAAATCAGCAGCTTGACTGAGTTCAGATAACTGACTTTTAATATCTTTTCATCAAGCACAAAGGCCTAATCCTGAAACTACTTGAAGCACCAGTGTAGGTAGACCACCTCTGAATGTGTCATTCCCTCCTCACCACAAACAAAACACATTGACTGCAGCTTTATGAAGTGAAAATGCTGAAGAAAGGGAAAAAGTGACGGAGGCGTCTACAGTCAGTTGTCTGAATGAATAGCAGCTGCATCTGGCTGCTATAGACAAAAAGTTCTAAAGCAGGGATAATGGTATGGGTCAGTCACTTTCATTAGTGCAGAGGAGTGGAACTACCTTCCCTTGTTTCAATATCACTGACCCTGAGGTTGTATTGTTTAGCAGTGTCAGGGAAAGTGTGTAAAAAGACTTCTGCTATTTTGTGGTATTTTAAGATGTGAAAGACTGAGTCATGGAGCTGTGAAATAGAACTTAATTTGCCAAATTCTGCTCACAATTAAAATTTGAAACAAGAGACAGATAAAAGTGTATTGTTATATTCCCCCCGTCTCTCTCTGTCTCTCCAAATGGCAACTCTTTTCCTTCATAGTTTATATGGACAATTGTCAAAAGTCTGTTTATGTTGGATTCAGTAGTGACTTTTCATATCAGTTTATAACCAAACCAATTTTCTCCAATTTTCCAATTTTATTTAAACATCAAAGAAAAGATGGTATCATTAAAAATTATGGCTGAGAGATTAAAATCTTAACAATATATGGAAATAGCAATGAACCATTAGTTTGGTTGTTCACACAATTGCATGTTTGTAGTTGCATTTCACTAAAGCTGGGAAACAATTAACATTAATGTTCTGTTTGGAATGTTTATATACAAAGTTCTTTTCACTTTTAAGTGGAGCAGAGTTTAGATTTATATTTCTGTTTTGTTTACTGCAATCGGTATTGTCTGTTATGAAGTAAGGGAGGGTTCGGACATTCTGTGATCTTGACATGATGGCTGGTACAACGGGCAAATTGATCACATCAAACTGCAGCATTGCGACATTTAATCACAAGGGATTTAGATGCTTGTGCAGCTTTGTTTGTGACCAGAGAAATAGTTTGTCATCAAGTCAACTCTACAGCCAGTTTGTATGTGTTTGGAATAAAACAACCCTTGTCTATTCTTCATGCGTTCGAGTGGAAAGGGATGCCAGTAATGCTATCATTATCCATGGAATGGAAATTCCACCTACACTCGTAAGACCTTACAGCTTGTAAGACCACTTTGTCTTATAACTTAATGTTGGACAGAATTGTGAAAAAGCCTTAAATTTCAATCATAAGTTAGAAATTATGATTGAAGTCCTGGGGAGTCCTGTAGCTCAGTGGTTAGAGCATTCGCCTTCAAGCGAGGCACCTGGATTCAACTCCAGGCAGGGCGAAACCTTGGGCAAGTTTCCTTACTCCACACGCCTAATAATAATCCCTCCAAAACCCCCCAAATTAATAATTTCAATCCACGACTGTTTGTGGGACACTGCGCAATTGGCTGCTGCGTTTCGCCCACAAACTATACGGTCAATTCACTTTACGGCATATTCTGCGTAGCGCTTTGAGACATCTAGAAGACGTGAAAAGCGCTATATCAAATGCGAGGATTATTATTATTATTATTATGAAATGTCCACCATTGAAGAACTACAGGAAAAACTAATGTTCAAATTAAGTACCAAATTTAAAACTTTTCGTTTAAAACACTGAGAAGCTTGACATTCCTGGGTTTGTTATTTTTAAGGACTGTGTAAATGGAGAAATAATAATAATAATAATAATAATAATCCTTGCATTTGATATAGCGCTTTTCACGTCAGGAGGACGTCCCAAAGCGCTTCACAGAACACACTGTAAAGTGAATTGACTGTATATTAATGTTGGGAGACATATGATCTGATCACAAACAAAACTTCACAAGCATCTAAATCCCTTGTGATTAAATGTTGCCATGCTACAGTCTGATATGATCAATTTGCCTATTGTACCAGCCATCACAGATCAAGGAAAAATTGGCATTTGTTTCATGACTGTTTGTGAGGCATTGCTGTGCGCAATTGTGTGTCAGCCTGGCTTAGTCGTAGCCTTTTCGCCTCTGAGTCAGAAGGTTGTGGATCGAAGTAGACATTCCAGTATAGTGAGATATTAAACCGAGATCCCGTCTGCCTGTTCAGGTGAATGTTAAAGATCCCGTGGGACTATTTGAAAAGAGAAGAGAGTTTCTCCCAGTTTCCTGATCAACTCCAAATAAAAATTCGTCACTCACTCCATGGTCTGTTTTGTGGATCATTGCAATGCACAATTATGCTGTTGCGTTTGCCTATAAATACACAGTTGGCTCCATTTTACAGTAAATCCTGTGAAGTGCTTTGAGAGATCTTGACCATGTGATAAAGCGCTATATCAAATGCAAGGATCATTATTAGTCCTGTACCTGAGTTGTTATAGCACTTGCCTTGCAAGCGAGAGACCTGAGTTTGATTCCCGGTAGGGTGAAACGTTGGGCAAGTTTCCTTCCTCTCCCCCAACCTCTGTTTACCTAGCAGTAAGTAGGAACACCGTTGTTAGTCAATTTTAGGATCGCTTTCCCGGAGGTAATAATTCCTTCAGAAAAAATGTGATCACTCAATCCACGACAATTTGTGGGACGATGCTGTGCACAATTGGCTACCGTGTTTCGCCCACAAACTATACAGTCAATTCACTTTACAGTATATTCTGTGAAGTGCTTTGAGACATTTAGAAGATGTGATAACCACTATATCAAATGCAAGGATTCTTATTATTATTGTATGGAAATACACTAAAACTCCAGCTGGCCGGACTAATGCTAGGAGCTGGAATTTCTAGCTAAGTAATTACAATACCAGGGATAGTGTGTACAAAGAATTTTGATGATTTGTGGTGTTATTTACCAGCTTTTTTCAGTGCCAATAAATGCCAGTGCCGTCATTGTAATTGTTTGAATCCTGCAAGCAGAAAATAGCAAATAAGCTGCCCTTCTGCTCGCAGGATTCAAACTGAGTCAAAGTCGATATCCCTGGCCACTGAAGGCCAGAAAGCCTGGGAAGTCGGGTGTGCCCTATAAGAGTTGGGCTGGGGGAATCTCTAGTGGGCCTGCAGATCTTTTTTAAAATAATTCTGTTACAGGTCCAGTCCGGCCAGGTAGGAATTCTGGATACTTGGAGTCTGTTGAGCTGGGGGGGGGTTACTGTATTTATAGCCATGGGACTGCTATTTGTTATTATTTAGTTCTGTTCTGCCACGTGCTGCACATGTTTTGCCCGTGTGTCATTTGTATAGCAGACACTTTATAGGCACATGTAAAGAATATTACACTGTAAAATACAATAAAATGAAGTGGGACTGTGACCGTTTGATGGTTTGCTTCCCTGTTTGCTCCTTTTATATCACTTGTGGTGCTACTCCAGGCAAAGGCACCAGTGCATGTCAAAAAAGTCCTGCTATCTGCATCTGTGGCAAAGTCTGATAACCTAGATCAGGGCCAGGGATCCCTGTGAGCTCGGTGATGATTTATGTTGTATGAGCGAAAGTTTCGGCAAAAATTCTGAACTTTGGTGTGTCAGAAAGCCATGCTGCTGCCAAACCAGGTTTGAATTTGTGAAACGTTCCAAATTTGGTATTGAAAGAAGGAAGAACTTGCATACTTATGATACCATATCACGTTTAAACGTCTCAAATCACTTTACAGAAATGTAGCGTATAGTAACTGTATTTGTAGGCAAACAACACAGCCAAGGTTGGGAAAACATCCATGAGGTGAATGGCCAGTTAATCTGGAGGATTGTTGGCCAGGATGATTAGAAATTTCCTCTATGTTTGAATAGTCCATGGGATCTTTAACATCAGTCGGTATAGTCAGACAAGACTGTGGTGTAACGTCTCATCCAGAGGATGGCATATCCTATCATGCAGTATATTGGTGTAATAAGGAGACTAGGTTTTTAGTACATTTATAAATCCTGAGCTCTCTCCATAGTGACTGCTAAATGGTAAATGAAGCAGTCAGCACAGGATGGCTCCACATTAGTTAAAACAGACTCATAATACCCTGAGGATGGCTTACAACACAAAGAGGTGAAGGATCGGATTCTGCGGGGTTTAGAAAGTGTCAATCTGTCTGACAGTTGCTTTTAGAACTACAATGAAATCTTAAGCGAAGGTTTAAAATAACCAGTGGAGCTTTTTTTTTGGAGGGGGGCGCAGGGTGGGGGGGGGGGTGGGAGTTGAATTAGGTGCAGTTAATTGTCAAAATGTCATGATTAATGTGAATTTTATTTCTTAATTTTCATTGACATTAATATTTCACTAAACTCTTTAAGATTTCAAAAGGTGGGAGCATTTCACTTAAGTAGCAATTCACAATTGAAAACCTTTTATTTGTTGTATTCTCCACTAAGGAGGCTTTGTGAAAATTCAAGTATAGTATATTGTCTTTTTGGTACCTCAGGACAGAAAATCAAGAAGAAACTAATTCATAATTGTCTCATTTCTCCCCAGAGGCAAATCTACAGTACTAGCAGACACGAGAATGTTGAGGCTTATAGCAAGAAAGAGCTCTTGGCAATAAAATCTGACATGTTGAGTTTGATGAATTGAACAACAAAAGGATTTGTCATTAAATTTTGCTTCAAGAGATTAATTTTGTTTTCTCCCGATATTTGAAACTGAGTTTTGGGATCACGCCCTTGTGGTTTTACTTGTCGGTCACCAACTTGAGCTGAAGTTTTGAGATGACTGCAATAGTTATTGGAAAAGCTATCTGTGAACAAACTGATTGTGATTAATGAGAGAATGATTGCCATTCTGGCTTTTGTTTTGTTTTTAAAGACGTTTCTTCAGATCCTGGGTGTGGTAGCTGTGGCAGTATCTATTATTCCTTGGATACTCATTTCAGTTTGTCCACTCTTCATTGTGTTCTTTTACCTCCGCCGCTATTTCCTACAAACTTCACGCGACATTAAACGTATGGAGTCGACAAGTGAGTAGAACCCTGAAAACTGGATATCCTTTTTATGAAATAATAATAATGATCCTTGCATTTGATACAGAGCTTCATCATGCCTTTGAGACATCTCAAAAACTTCACAGAATATACTAATTAGCTGTGTATTTTGTGGTCGAATGTAAGGATGATTATTGTCATAAATTTGCTATGTTTGTGATATTTATCATGTTAAAGGTGCCAGATACTGACCGAGTTTAAATGTAGATATTTTGGGTGGCTGTGAACTGAAAGTCCAATGCCAATGACCAGGCTTCTCAAACTTCACCACTAACAAGGGGATCATCATTGGAGTTGTAGATCAAGACTTTCAATTCCTGGTTAGTGGAAATGCTGGCTTTTCATTAAAGAAAAAACTCAAAAAGCCAGGTTTGCACTAACCAGCAAGGTAGGAAACCAGCAATTGAATCCCAGCTTGAACTTTCATCATCTATTTACAATGCATCTCAATCTCAATGTTTGTTGAAGAATCACTGCTCCAGTATTTTGGCGTTAATTTACCTCCAAACATCCAGTTACATTTAGCACATTTGTTCTCTTTTGGCTCCTGCTTCCCCACTGATCAGCACAACGATCCAAAATATCTGCATTTAAACTCCCTGCTCCATACCGTTATGAATCGGCCAAACAATCTTGAAACACTTGTAGTACACAAAATTGGGTATGTTTGTTATTGTTATTAATGTCACATTTTTAACACCATTTAAAAAAAACGGTCCAAGCTTTCTGCACCACATCACTGCCAAAGACAACTTAAGTCAAAGTAGTATTATCTCAACAACAGGGAGCAAAGTATTTTGGGGAGTGGCTATTCTCAAATTCAAATAAAAATGTTTGCTATAAAATAAGTTGAAATATTAGTTCAAAAATTTACATGGATTATCTCATGCCTGCCTTCAGTTTTCTAACCTCCAGCAGCTGCCATGTCTGCGGGCTGATGATTCCCCACTGATCCCTCTGCTCCCAGTCTCAGCATGCGATTTGGCTGCTGCCCCTGAACCAAGCCATCCCCTCCCAAAGTGCCCCCGCTCCTACTCCCCACCCTTCATTACTCCTCACTCAGTCCTTCTCTCCTACCACCCTCCCCATATTCTCTCCCTCCTGGACCCTCCCACAGCCTCCCTCTGCTCCAGCCTGGTCATCCTCCACCGGGCTCACCAGAGCAGCCACGCCCGCTGCCCCATCCCCCACCTATTCCACAAGACCCGCCTCCGACAGGTGAACCTCACTTCTCTGATCCACCTCCTTCCCAGCTTGTTGGATGGACATCAAGGCCTGGATAAGCGCAAATTTCTTGCAGCTGATTGTCGACAAGACAGAAGCCGTATTCTTTGGCTCCTGTCAACATCTTCTCTCCTGCGGGTCTGAACTCCTCAACCTCTCTGGGCTCCGTCTCGGACTCACCGAACCCGTGTGCAACTTAGACATCACATTCGATCCCAGCTTTCCTTCCTACCCCACATCCGTCCCCTGACCAGGGCCGCTTTTTTCCACCTCCGTCACATTGTCGGTCTCCATTTGTACCTCAGAACCAAAGCAGCCGAAACCCTTGTCCACGTCACTCCCTTTGGCACATGGTCAGACTCCGCCACTGTCAAACACTCCGGGACGCTACCCCACGTGAAGGGCGCTAAATAAATACAAGTTGTTGTAATATCAGTTTTAGTTCATCCGATTGGAGTGCAAGTGTCAGCAAATGAAGTGAAAAATTCTGCAATGTGCAAGGCCTAAACCTTTTCTAAATGCTGCATAAATTCAGTAAGGCATTTGGATGTGTCCAGTAAATATCCTGGGATATCATAACTGACTCTAGCGTCAGTTCCAAAGGCACTGCAGTTCACATGATTAATGGATTAGATTCCCCCATCTTTGCTGAGTAAATTGATCTCACTTAGAGCAGTGATGTCACAATTTGTTTCCATCCCCTGACCTGGGGAAGAAGAAATTTAGTGGTGTTCCTGCTCCTGATCAGTGTGGTGAGGGGCTGCTGCTGGAAAGTGTGCATGTATAGATGTTGAGTGAAGACAGATTCGGGCTTGGATTTGATGTTTTCCACATGGTTGCATAATCCACTGCCACTCAGAGTCTAGATTCACATATGAAGAACAGCCTCTTGAGTAGGGTAACACAAGTTTGGCAGGTGTCACTGGATCTGTACTCCAGTTTGAGTCACTACCTTCAGAGAAAGGGGGGATTACATAACAACTCCATTATATTGCTTGCTGTACATTGTGTGGGTCTGACATTATCCGGAATAATATTTGCAGTATTAGTCATTAATCCCAGGAAGAATATTGTTGCCCTTTTTGCCCTTGGGAGGATATAGTTGTAAGCATTGAAGATGATATAATGTTTCAGGAATCTAAACCATGAGGTCAGTCTGCAAGGTGATCTAATAGATTAAGAATGACAGCTGACGCAGGCAAATTGTTCAGTGTAGTGACATGAGTAAAAAAAATGGAAATTATGGAGGAAAGAAGGGAAATAAAGTGAACCCTTTTTAAACAAAACTTAATAGACTCGTGGATTAAATTTCAAGGGAAGGCGATTCCAGCTAACAGTTTAATCCGTTCAACAAGCAGCTAAATATATTTCTGGAACGCGGAGGGTTTAGGTGGACCTGAATGTCTGGCGTCTATGTCAAATCTTACCAAATATAATAATTGCTTTGGTTTCAGTTTTGATTTCCACTAACTGTAACATCAGATGTATGTCAATAATTTTATGTGCGATATTGGATAATAACCTGCCAAAAGCAGTTTTTCTTTTACATCTGCTAGACTGTGGCTGACAGACTGTATTATTCACCAATTTAGACTCATTTCATTCCATATGATGCAATTGCACAAACTAAGGATCTTTGTTCAGTCTAGCTTTCGTGCCATTTGGTAATCCTGCTGGGTAGCTTTGTTGGTCAAACGCCAGCCTTGGGTCTGAAAGTTCCTAGGTTTGAATCTTGGATCTACTCAATCCATCATTCTTGAGATGGATAAAATGAATATCATCTCTAAAGGTATCGCTGCTCCAAGACATTACCACACATGAAGGGTGCTATAAAAATGCAAATTATTGTAGTAAGTGGGTCTTTGCAGGGTTGAATTGACTTTGAGAAAACATGCCTGGCAGGTCTGCAGTAATTTAAGGCAGATTAAATATGTAGACACCTTTGTAAGTTAAAGTTCTAAAGGGTACGTGGTTGTTGATCGACAGGTACCATACAGTTACCTGTTTCATTCAATCATGATGGTAGTAATTTATAGCAAATGTCTAATTTTTCACCCTCCTGGAAATAATAAAGTCACAAAGTTAATTTATACTTCTAGAAATGTAAAAATACTCAAATCTTTGCAGAGGATTAATTAAATACCCAACGGCGTTTTGTCATTCAGCTCGAAGTCCGGCATTCTCCCACCTGTCTTCATCTCTAGAAGGGATTTGGACTATCCGTGCTACAAAAACTGAGCCTCAGTTTCAAGCAAAATTTGATGACCATCAAGATCTCCATTCAGGTGAGATATACTATATGATTTTTAAAGATAAAATACCATCAAACTCCACTGTGTACATGTTCTTCAGATAAGTAGTGAACGGAGACTAGACTAGACTAGTATGAATGGTGATTCCAGGCTACATGAATAATAGATCCGGTTCTAATTATTATTCAATCCATTTATAAAGTTGGTAGGATTTAGTAGCATTTTATATTAACTCCAAAAGAAAGAAAATTTAAGAAGCTGACTCTGTCCTGTGTGGAGCAAAGTTGATGTTTTTTTGACTAAGCACTGTTAAATTGGTTGCATTAGCTCACATGGGTAATGAGTAGCAGAATCCACCTGTGATATTTATAGCATCATTGGCAACTTCACTCATCACCACCTTAAAATTGTTGTATGTGGTGAAATACAGTTACCTTCAGCTATTGTTGCAACTGTGTTTTACTGTTCACCTCTGGTTGAACATGAACACTTTTCAGGTACTAACTTTTTATGTGCCATGTGCTTTAGATGACACCTTCCTTCCCCCCCACCATTCCCCTCCACCATTGTGAACCTATTTAAAGTGCATATAGTGTTCACTAAGAAATGTAATTATCTTAATAAAATTGTAACCAGGTTAAAATACAGAACAAAATCCGGTCAGATGGCTCATCTGGCTGATAAACGTGTGATAAGATTGTACATAACGCTGTTTGTTCATTATTTGTGTGCTAAACTATTGTCAAAATAGTGAAATATGTTTGCAGTGTTATTGAGTGTTTGTTTTCCTGCAGAGGCTTGGTTCCTGTTTCTGACTACCTCACGTTGGTTTGCCGTGCGATTGGATGTACTTTGTGCCATTTTTGTCACCACTGTTGCTTTTGGTTCTATTTTAATTGCGAACCGTAAGTAAGACTTTCAGCTCTTTATCTTTTTTTTTCTGTTGTAAATTTTAGTGTGTAGTTTAGATATATTAGTTTGTATTTTGCTGGAAAACTTTTTGACACATGATTTGTAAGTTGAAGTGGTAAATTTTTTAAAAACTGTTGTCCCACTTTTATTTTGCATCACTCAAGAAGAGGGATTAGGTAAGTAAAGTGCCAAATTTGTACAATGGTGGTCTGAATGTGACTTGCCTGGTCAGCAATTGCATCACTGCTGTTAACATGCAAACTTAGCTAACATTCTAGTGTGGACAAAATTAATTAATGTGGAACTAATATTATGTCCATCATTCATGTGTCGCACTGTCAGAGGATACAGTTCAAGATCCTAGTCCTCACCTTCAAAGTCCTCCACGGTCTTGCTCCCCCCTATCTCTCCGACCGCCTAACCCCCTACCATCCTGTTCGCTCCCTCCGCTCAGCGGGCTCCAGCCTGCTTCACGTCCCCCGCCTTACTCGGCCCAGTATTGCCGTGCGAGTCTTGTGCCACTTTGCACCCACCCTCTGGAACTCCATCCCGCAGTCCCTCCATCTCGCCCCCTCCCTCTCCACCTTCAAGACCCACCTCAAGACCCTCTTCTTCGACCGTGCTTTCGATCTCCCTGCTTCCCCCCTGTCCTCCCCACCCTGACCCTCAGCTTGGGTCCATAACTCTGTCTGTCCAGTGCCTTGGGACCTCCTCCCGCCATTAAAGGCGCTTTACAAATGTAATTTTGTTGTTGTTGTTGTGGAGTCCTGTAGCTCAGTGGTTAGAGCACTCGCTTTGCAAGTGAGAGACCTGAGTTCAATTCCAGGCAGGGCGTAACCTTGGGCAAGTTTCCTTACTCCACACGCCTAATAATAATCCCTCCAAAAAAAAACAATAATAAATTGGTCATTTTCAATCCACGGCTGTTTGTGGGACACTGCTGTGCGCAATTGGCTGCCGCGTTAGCCCACAAATATACAGTCAATTCACTTTACAGTATATTCTGTGAAGCGCTTTGGGACGTCTAGAAGACGTGAAAAGCGCTATATCAGATGCAAGTATTATTATTATATAACCCTGAAGGTAACTATTGGTGAGTCTTTTGTCCACAAAGGCTTCTGTGGCTGAGCCTGATCCTAACCTCACACAGCATCCATGCATGTGCACCTCCACCAAGAGGGTCTCTGAATAGTGATCAGGAGCAGTAACACTGGTTGATGATCCCCTCCCTAACATGGGGTGCTGAGGCCAATTGAGTTCCCCCAGTGCTGCCCTGCCTTAGGTCACATAATTCAACTGTAACTTACAAAGGAAGAATGTAGTTTAAAGTGCTACCCTCTCTGAGTAACAATTACCTGAGTCACTTTTGACTTGTAAGATGCAGTGCAGAAACCTCCTACCTTTAAGAAGAGATATGTGTTTGATGTTATTTAGTTCAATTTAACATGTTGCAAATACTCACTTTTGCTTGTGCTCTCTTTTTCTTCAGTTAGTCTCATATTGATCTTGTCTCCATTTTAGTTGGTCTTGTCTTCAGGTTTGGGGTGAGGGAGGGCAGAGAAGTAGGAGGGTGGCTGAAGGCACGGTTGAAAAGGAGCATCTTGAGTCGTGCCTTGAACAAGGCAAGGGAGTTAGCAAGGTGAAGGGATTGTGGGATGGAGTTCCAGAAGGTGGGGGAAGAGAGGCTGAAAGTCCTGCCGTTGATGGCCGGGTGGGTGGGTGGGAGACCTGGAGCAGGCTGGAGCTTGCTGAATGGAGGGAGCTGCCAGGTTGATAGGTTGTTAGCAGGTCAGAGAGATAGGAGGGGGCAAGGCCGTGGAGGGCCTTGAAAATGAGTACAAGGATTTTGAATCCTAACTGTTCTTCACTGAGCTTCATTTATGTTCAAAGGTAAATCCAAAAAAATCAAATACGGTAGCCTGAGGAAGTTAAGTGAATGTGATATTGGTGTCAGATTTTATGTGCATGTCACCGTGTGAAATTAAACTAAGAGCACGTGGACTGCCTATTTGCAGTCGTTTACAATATCTAGGTGCAAGGTTCAATAAATGTAATCTCTTTCTAAATAGATATTCCCTTCCTTTAGAACTTGGAATGTATGTCTGCTTTAACCTATTCAGAACTGACTGCAGTTTTTGTTTACCTACCACCACCACCGAAATAAAACCTTTTGGTTTTGGAAAATGTAGAACAGGCCAATCTCTTGCAACAATGAAAAGCATTTACTAACCAAATTGCACCTTTAGTTGCATCTTTTTAGTTATTTTTTTTTAACACAGCTACTAGTTATGTTCATAGCTTGTTGGTAACCTGTTAAATTTAAAACCACTCTTGCAGAAATAAATTCAGGACAGGTTGGCTTGGCTCTCTCTTATGCTATCACCTTAATGGGCATGTTCCAATGGGGAGTACGGCAAAGTGCTGAAGTTGAAAATCTGGTAAGATTGTTTTTAAAATGTTATTTTTGATCCATCAATTCAGCAAGTAAAACATAACTGTTGTTCCTGTTTCGCTTCTTGGGTTTAAATTGTTTCTACCACTTTGAATCAATCCTCTCTTTCCACACGCACACATATACTTCACACATACACAAACACACTCCAGAAATCTTGTACAATATCATGACCATTAAAACCATTACTTTAATAAACTTTCCAACAGTCTGAAATCCTTATGTTTGTAGCCTTAATACAATTGCCTTAAAATCCAGGTTGAAGAATTTTGGAAAATTCTTAAACATAATCTTAATTTGAAAGTAGGTTTTCAAAGGCATTTGAAAAGCTTCGAAATTTGGACTGAATTTAAGAATCTTCCAAATTCTGTACAATCTTAATTGTTAAATCAATGATCTTAAGGCTAAGATCGTGAGAAATGTTGAGCCTTATGGTAGCTTGAACAATGGGGAAAGAGAGCAACCTCATCTTCCCTGGTTTCTCAGCATTCTCATCCTTCTTCATATCACATTTGTACTGACTCTGAGCTGGAGCATATACACGTTTGTCAACAGTCTACCTCCAACCTACAATGATACCCCATCTCTGTCCATGGAATTGGTCCCAGCATGAATAAAAGAAAGCCTCTGTGGTAGATTTTGTACCAGGAGCAATTCAAAGCCACATAGCAATGTGTGCGCTGTGGATTTACACAACAGGCCCATTTTAACTTGCTGAATAGACAGAAGAAACGATGAAATAAAATGGTTTTGTGCACCAATGAATTTCAATAAGACTACCCTAGAGGCATTCCTGATGAAATTAAACAATCAAATGTTAGCTCCATTCAAGTCAACACTGTGGATTTGGTGGTGGTATAAACAAGGTATTAGACAACTTGTTCATGACTGGCAGTATCACAGTTTCCCATTTTAGAAGGTTGGCTGAATACTGTATTATGTTACGACTGGCATCCTTCTCATCTTTAGACTTCGTCTGTACAATCCGCCAACATTGCAAATAGTAGGTTACCAAATGCCTGATATTTACATTTTATAAATTATTCACTTCACAAAATAAGATATTTGGCAAAGCCTAGTCGTTTGTAAGCCAGACTTCATATTTGACTCCAATATTTTCATCTTCAGATCTACATTAACAAATCCTTAGATGTGTTCATTTTGCATACTATTATATTTTGAATGAAAAACAGCCTCAGGTTAAGGACATTAGCTAGAATTTTCTAACACAGGTCTTATTTCAAAAGCAAGAATTCGCGTTTAGATAATTGCACATCCATGTCTACACATATTGTATAATTATACCTTTGACGAAATGCAGAATGAGCACAAAAATGATGTTGTGATTCCCACCAGGCCTATGAAATTGTGTCCTTGGCAGCATCTTTTTGTTCATTTTCATCTTTTCATGTTTTTGTATTCATACTTTATTGCTGCAGCATTCCATAGATGTCCTCAAGCTTTCATCCAAAATAAAAAGTGCTTAAATACGTATACCACATAAGAAACTGCTTCTACTGCTGAATCTGACCTGCTGTCAGTTGTTGCTGTTGGAATAGTTTCTTGTGTAAATGATTAATCTGGCTGTGTCAAAAAAGAATCTTATTACTTCTCCACAAAGAGTTTTTTAATCTTTATTAACAGTGTACATGTATAGTTTCGCTCTGCAAGATTGGTAAAATCACATTTCAGTGGGACCTTGTTAAAACACACTTTATTCTAACATGGGTTTGTTTATAGCATGATTGGGGAGTGTACCCTGATATTTACTTCCCCAAAATTTTTCAAATGCTCGCTTCCAAAGGCAAGCCAGATTCTCAAACGCTAAAGAATGGCAGACTTTAAGGTCATCCGGAATAACGTCGGCCGTGACCTGATGACCTGGAAGTCTGCTATTTTTTTATTGCAGGAATAGGATATATGCGAAGTGAATGGGAAATACCAACAGTGCCCTGTTAGAATGTTAGTTGGGATTTTATGGACCTGTAAAAGGGCTCTACTGTATATTTCTCCAACATTGAAGAAATTTTCATTCATTCTTGTCAGTTGATGTAATGTAAAGTCCCAAACCTTGCTAGGTAATCCTCTTAATATTTGTTCACTTAACAAAATCCACAATCACCAAAAATGTTCCCCTAAATCAAGTACTAAAAAGTAATAATAACAAATTACATTTGAATAGAGCCTTTCAGATTGGGAGGAACGTGCGAAGGCTCTGAACAGTTGAGGATTTGGACCCGAGCAAGCGTTGGGATCAGGAGGGGTAGAAGGTGGAGAGGATGGGAGTAGGAGGATAACCAAAGGCATGGTTGAAGTTGAGGGTCTTGAGATGGGCCTTGAAGGAGACAAGGGAGGAGGCAAAGGGACTGTGGAATGAGGGTCCAAAGGCTAGGGCAGAAAGGCTGAAAGCCCGACCGCTGATGGTGGGGAGGGAGACATGAAGCAGGCTGAAGCCCCCTGAAATGGGGGAGCGGATAAGTCGGTATAAGGGGCTCTATATACCGAGCCCCTTATCACTTAGAAAAATTTCAAAGCTTTCATAAAATGAGTTATTTTGAAATGAAGTGGCTGTTAAACAGGCACCCATGCCAGGCGTGTCTCACAACAGCAATGAGATGAATGTGCAATTATCCTGGTAACTTTAACTCTGTTGTCCAACTCTTCTTATCGGAAATACATCCATTAATAGCATAGTTAATCACGTATAAAATGGGATTTCATTGCAAGATTATTACATTTATGTCTGGAAGATTTTATTTTTTAAAAGTTTAGTATTCGTTTCAATTAACTATCTTAACATCTGTACACACTCTCTTCAAGAGAGAGATTGCAATAGCTTTATTTGATCTGCCATATAAATAATCCCTGCATTTGATATAGTGCCTGTTCACATCATCAAAATTTCTCAAATTGGTTCACAGATTTACTGTGAATTTGTAGGCATTGCATCAGTGTCAAATAATCCAAGGTTAAATACAGAATGAATCTAATGCAAAATAAAGTTCAATCTGTTATCATCCAAACACATTTGTACAAAGGCATTTTGAAATGTCTTCACTGGTGTTGGGTTTGTGGAGTCCTGTCGCTCAGTGGTTAGAGCACTCGCCTTGCAAGCGAGAGACTTGGGCTCGATTCCAGACAGGGCAAATCCTTGGGCAAGTTTCCTTACTCCACACACCTAATAATAATCCCTCAAGAAAAAAAATAATAATTTGGTCACTTCAATCCAGGACTGTTTGTGGGACACTGCTGTGCACAATTAGCTGCCACATTTCGCCCACAGATATACAGTCAATTCACTTTACAGTATATTCTGTGAAGCATTTTGAAACGTCTAGAAGACGTGAAAAGCTCTATTTCAAATGCAAGGATTACTTTATTATTATTACAATCCTGGAACTCCTTACCCAACACCATCATAGGACCACTATTACCATAAGGAATACAGTGATTTTCATGCCCGAGATAAATCATCACAACCCGAGAAAAATGAAAATAAAAAGGGAATCAAAGCAAACCAGAGGAGAATTCTGTAAGAAAACATTATTCACTGACAAACCAATGATGCATTGTGGAGTTGTCACAAGATTTCTGAGTGAGGATTGGTAAGGTATTGCGAAGGCTCTGGAGTGTGTTATTATTTGGTGTAAGGTATTACTGAGTTGTAATATTGCTTTTTGAGAAATTATTTAAGGTGCTGTATGAATTTAAGTTGTTGCTGTCTCCCATGTCCCTCCATTAAACACTTTTGTCTGTGCTTTAACTTTTCAGATGACTTCAGTGGAACGAGTGCTTGAATACACTGAACTTCAAAGTGAAGCCGCATGGGAATCATCTAAACCCCCACCAAAAGACTGGCCAAACAAAGGGACAGTGGTATTCGACGGAGTCAACTTTAGCTACAGTGTTAATGCTGATCCAGTTCTTAAGAACTTGAATCTAACCATCAGATCAAAAGAAAAGGCAAGTACAAGAAAATATTGTTCAAGAATTGGTTCTTCAAGTGAGAGATTGGATTCATTGGTCAGATTTCATTGGAGCAGAGAAGGTTGAGGGGAAACCTGATAGACGTGTTTTTGACAGGGTCAATAGGGAGAATTTATTTCCATTGATGGGAGAGTCAGTGACTAGGAGACATAGTTATGAAATAGCACAAGAAATCAGTGAAAGGAGAACTTGGAAGGATTTGTTTTGCCCAGAGAGCTATTGGGATGTGGAATGCCTGTGGAGTAGAATGGAGTAGAATCCATTGTAGCTGTTGAAAGGCATATGAAAGAAAGGGGCAATGGGGATAAACCAGTGCAGTTAGATTTATTTAACTTCCTTTCTCTTTGAGCTGGTGCAGACTCGTAGGCCGAATGGCCTCCTTCTGCTCTGTAGATTTCTATGTTTCTTAGCTTCCACATTATGACATGTTTGTCTTTGACTTGTAACTACAGTAGTTTTACTTCAAGCATTAATTTAAAAAAACATAAACTCAGCATCTCAGAAGCTATGATGAATGTTTTGAGCTTAAATGAAAACTGTTCTAAATATTCAAATTGTTTTTTTTCCTACTCTAGCTTTCTGTTTGAAGTGTGATACCATGTATATGTGGAACTATTGTCAGTAGTTTGGTTTGGAGTCTCTTAAAATAGCAATATCTTAAAACAATGGCAATGGGTTTCCATATGTGTTGGCTCCTGGCTGCCAAAAAAAAAGTATGGAAGCGACAGATAAAATTGCTCACAGTAAATAAGGTAACCAATCTGGGAAGAACTTGGACAGTAGTAACTATAATGTGGAGTTTTTTTTTATTAAGTAAATTCAACAGAATCAAATTTTAATATCAGTTTGATTTAGTGTCAGAGAGAAACTGACCAGGTAGTTGATCACGACTCATTCAGCACTTATGGCAAACGCCTCCAGTTAAAACACAATAGTCATTTGCTTTTGATTACATGAAAGTCGTTTCTGTGTGTTAACTTTTCTGATTGACTGATATATGTGGTATGATGAACACTGAATGTATTTGTATTGCTCATGTTTGCAGGTTGGGCTTGTCGGAAGGACAGGTGCTGGAAAGAGTTCTTTAATCGCAGCCTTGTTTCGCCTGGCTGAACCTGAAGGAAAAATCATGATTGATGGCATTCTGACCTCAGAACTCGGCTTGCATGAGCTGCGGCAAAACATGTCTATCATTCCTCAGGTACAGTGTCTGCTGAGCGCAAAACAAATGGTTCTCAAGCCCTATCATTTTGCAGTCAAATGGTTTAATTTGTGTTCAGAGTTTTGGAATCTCAGACTAAAGACCAATATGTCACACAAGATGCTTTCTTTTAAATGCAGACTTCAACTTGTAATGAGAAGGCTTTCCTGTTAACTTGCTAACTTTGTCACAGGAAAATGCTTGTACGTGTTTTGGTACCACTATTATGCTAAATTTAAACTTGGTTTTACTTGATCGTAAGTTATTTTGTCATTGGCAACTTGTAGATTAAGGTCCAAATGGCAACACTTTTCGAATTCCAAGATGTACCTGACATCCAACAGCATGAAAGTAGTTTAGGCAATTTGTTTGAGATAACTAAGGTATTAGCCTTGAGATAATTTAAGGCTAATATCTTAAATAATAATAAAAGGAATCCTTGCATTTGGTATAGCATTTTTTTTTCTGTAAAGTGCATTGCTGTGTATTTGTAGGTGAATATAGCAATGTGCAAGCTGCCCAAGTACCATCCAAGCACGTTAGCACAGCTGTTTGTTATTTTGGGTTACATAATATGTACACGGGCATAGGCCTTCCATCTAGGAGCCCTTCTCCACACAGGTCTGCTTCTTTCTGATTTTTGGGTGATTTATTACATCCGGGGGCGTTCTCCCACCCTCAGCCCGTCTGGTGCAGCCAGCTCAATAAATTGCTTGGAATGTTCGTCTAAAAGCTTTGCCATTTGTTTATTGGATATAAGCCTATGCTCTTAAATTATGTAACTTGTACATTCCTCATTAAATCTCCATCACCACGGGGGAGTGATTTAAGGTATTCTATGATCCCTTGGAGGTGTTCCTCAGCAGTATCCATTCTTGTATCAGGGTTGTACCATTTCATGGATGCCCTCGGAGTGACTCACAGGAACATCCTTCAAGGTTGAGGAGTTAAAACGAAGTCCCGTATGCCTATTGAGGAAGACATCAAAAAAAAAGGGTGTTTTCTCCCGGTCCTGGCCAACTATTCCCCCAAATAAAATTGGTCATTTACTTCATGCTGTGTGCATATTGATTGCTGTTTTGGGCCACAAAATACACAGTTAGACCACTTAACAGTATATTGTGTGAAACATTTTGAGATATCTCTACATAAGGTGCTATATCAAATGCAAGTATTATTATTATAAGGGCAGGATCACAGGACATTCATCTTGATCTGCTACACATTTGACAACTCACAGCAGTTCTCCATCGTATGTGCTGTCTAAATATAGCATTATTTATACTGGTCTATATACCAATTCCAGGACTGAGACTCAGAAAATAGAGGGAACTTTACTTTGCATTAGGTTCATACTGCATTTGACCTTGATGCTGATTCAACACCTACAAATCCAAAGTCTTATATTTTATAGTAAATCCTGTGAAGCGTAATTAGACATTTTGATGACATGATGAAGCGTGATGTCAAGTGTAAGGATTGTTATTATTATAGTTGTTATACCAGTGCATTTTTTTTAACTGTCAGACAATGATATGTTGTTTACGATTTGCTTGGGACCACCGACAAAGAAAACAAATTAGAGTATGAAATAAATGCACAACTGTCAGTGGCAGCCTAAATCGCACATGTTAAAATGCTGTACAATCCTCAGATTTTTCAACAACAACTTACATTTATATAGCACCTTTGACAGTAAAGAAATGCCTCAAAGAGCTTAACAGGATAAAATTAATTTAAAAATAAGTGAATGTTGTTCTGAAGTAAAAAGTGGTTGTTAATTTGCATCAGCAATATCTTACAAACAGCAGTGAGACGAGTATCTAATTTGAGGCGACTTTGGACGAGTCGACCACGCTATCCTACTCCACCGCTTGTCCTCCCACCTCAACCTTCAAGGCACTGTCCTTGAGTGGTTTAGGTCGTACCTTTCTCACCGTCTTCACTTTGTCTCGACGAATGGCTTCTCCTCCACCCCCCGTACTGTCTCATGTGGTGTCCCTCAGGGCTCTGTCCTCGGTCCCCTCCTCTTCACCCTCTAGATGCTCCCCCTTGGTGACATCATCCGCAGACATGGAGTTAACTTCCACATGTATGCGGATGACACCCAACTCTACCTTTCCTCCTCTACTCTCAACTCCACGACCACCGATGTCCTGACAGCTGCCTGTCTGACATCGAGTCCTGGACGAGAGACAACTTTCTTCAGCTCAACGTGCGAAAAACCAAGGCCCTCCTGATTGGCTCACGTCAGCGCCTCCGCACCTCAGGCGCCGACACCATCAGCATCCAAGGCTGCACTCTCCACCTCTCAAAGCCAGTCAGGAACCTCGGCGTTTTGTTCGACCCTGAGCTGTCCTTTCTCCCTCACATCCGCACCACAACTGGCACCGCCTTCCATCACCTCCAGAACATCGCCAGACTACGCCATTACCTCACCCCTCACGCTGCTGAAACTCTGGTCCACACCTTTGTCACCTCAAGGCTGGACTATGGGAACTCTCTCCTCGCCGGCCTTCCCGCCACCTCCCTCCACAAGCTGCAGGTCATTCAGAACTCTGCAGCTCGTGTACTGTCCCGCACCAGGCTTCGGGACCACATCACTCCCACCCTCGCTCACCTCCACTGGCTCCCCATCCCCCAGGGGATCGAATTCAAGATCTTCATCCTCACCTACAAGGCCATTCACGGCCTTGCTCCCTCCTACCTCTCCGACCTACTATCCCCCTACCTACCTGCCCGCACCCTCCGTTCCTCCGGCTCCGGTCTGCTCCACGTCCCCCGCCCCAATCGCCCTACCATCGGTGGTCGGGCCTTCAGCCTCTCAGCCCCTAGGCTCTGGAACTCTATCCCCCAGTGCCTTCGCCTTGCTTCCTCCCTTTCCTCCTTCAAGGCCGGTCTCAAAACCTTTCTCTTTGACCGAGCCTTCAGCTCCCCTCTCGACTCTCTTCCCCCTCCTCGCTCCCTCCCTTCCCTCCCCTCACCCTGACCATTTCCCCCCTGCTCGGGTCATGACCCAACTGTGCAGCGCCTTGGGACGTCCTCCTGACGTGAAAGGCGCTTTATAAATGGAATCTTGTTGTTGTTGTTGTTGTTGAGTGAGAAATAGAGAGCCGGGAGGGTAAGTTTCTTAGAAATAGTGGGTCTGTTAATTTAAACCCCAAACCACAAGGTAATTGGGACCTAAATTAATGGCTCAGTCAAAAGAGGGATGATGATGTGGAAATAAATAAACTTGTATTTCATATAGATTATTGTTAGGAAGGCAAGTGTGTCAGCCAATCTGTGCCAGCAATATTCCACAGACAAAACTGAGATGGGTTGGCAAAATAATTAAAACATTTTTGCAGTGATTTTGGATTGGGAGATTATTATTCACTTGTAATCAGGTCATAACATATTTGTCTGAGTGGTGTATTTTTAATAACTACCTCATTTTTAGTTGGCATTGATGTTTTATGATGTGTTTTCATTTGATTTTTAAATGTTGTACACTGTGTTCTGCTGCATTCTCCTTTAGTGTAGCAAATCTTTCGACATGCTTATAGTTTAAAAAAAAGTCCCAATTCATAAGGACGTATTGAAAGATTTGCTGCAGAGTGAATGGAGCAGAATTGCCCCCATTGTCTCCCAGGTACAACCAATTAAACTGAGAGAACTAACACCTCCAGTTCTGAACTTGTATCCTTTTACATCACCATTCAGCTGCAAAGCACTGTCAGCTTCGTGAGGCATTCACAAGCGAATAAGTAATCCATCATAATGGGGTCTATTATATGCATTTCATTAAAACTAGTAATCTTTTCATTATGTCTTTATAATGAGGAAAGCAGAAATATGAGAAGGAATTCTGCCATTTGCTGGTGGTTGAAAGGACTTTGCCCCTAACAGAGCCTTCATAGCAGGAAAAGCTTGCAGTTTGCAGAAGGGAGCTCCAACTAGTTAACCCATCAAGCCTGTTCCGCCTTTTGATTGGATCATGGCAGATCTTTTCATCCCATTTTCTTTTTTTCCCTTATCTATTCAAGCCTTACTTCCCAAGTTTCTATCTCCTTTAAACCTTCCAATTCTGTATGTATAGCATTCCAAATTCTTACAGCACTCTGTGTGAACGGACATTTCTGTTTTCATTCCACTATGTAATAATTTTAGCTCTAGGAACATAAGAACAGAAGGAGGCCATTCAGCCCTTTGAGCCTGTTCCACCATTTAATTAGATAATGGCTGATCTGTACCTCAACTAATTCTTTCAATTCCAATTTCCCACTTCTCCCCATATCCCTTAATATCCTGACCTACCAAAATTCTGTTAACCTCAGTCTTGAAGGTGTGGATTGCTCTAGCATCCACGGCCTTTTGGGGGAGAGAATTCCAGATTTCTGCCACCCTTTGAGTGAAAAAATCTTCCCGATTTCACTCTTAAATGGCCTGGTTCTAATTTTAAGACTAGGCCTCCTTGTTTTGGATTTCCCACGAGAGGAAAAAGCTTCTCTGTATCTACCTATCGAATACTTTCATCATTTTAAATATCTCAAAAAAAACCTGATTTTAAATTTAAATTTGTTTTGTTTTCAATCCACGTACCAGAGGAGAGAATTGCCCTTTAAATCGGCACCTTAAAATCTTCTGCTTCGATCACATCTATGGTGACCTCTCCCTTCTCCATCCACCTTCTCCAATGCTCAGAGTACAATTTTGTTATTGTGAAGCGTTCCAATACATTTTCTTATGTGAAGGGCATTTTATAAATGGAAGTTGTCATTCTTATTGAGCTTGTCCATTCTCTTCCTTATTTTAAACACTTTAATCAGATCACTCCTTAATCTGTGTTCCAGAGAAGATTGCTCACATTTACCCAGCCTTTCACAGTATCTTAAACTCTTTCATCTCAGGTATTAATGTGGTGAATTGTTACTTAAAGCCCTCCAAAAGGAGTATCTGGAGCCTTTCCTCATCTCTAATCCTAACTCTTGACAATGTCTTTTCTCACCTCTGGGCTG